AAAAAAAAAAAAAAAAAAAAAAAAAAACTTTTAAGTCAAGATTCTGCACTTCACCTGTTTGTCTACACTTTTCTTTCCCGCACTTCCTCAGCCCCAGGTGCTGGACACACAAAGAGGTGCTGTGAAACCCAGTTAAGTCTGCAGGGAAGTGCTGCTCTACTTTCAAGACTCCCCTCAAAAAATCATTTTCTTTTCTGGGAAAGCCTTTCATGAAGTCACGGGCTCAAAATGGAGCGGTGAAGGATGTGGAGAAGAATCCAAAGGCAGGGTGGTTGTGGAACTTAAAGGAACACTGGAGACCCCGGGGCCCTCTGGGAGGCGAAAACGTAGAGCTCCCCTTATATTCTGAGCCTGGGAAAGGCTGTTCTCGACTCAGCGAGCACTGACTGCGCCAGGCAAGGGAGGCGGTCCATGCACTGGGCCCGCCCAGCAAGCTGCGGCTCCGCCCCGCCAGTCCCTCCGGTCCGGGTGCTGCTGCTTCCGGGCTCCGCGGCTCCGGGCGGCTCGGCCAGGCCGCGGTCCCGACGCTGGGCCCAGGAAGGGGCCCAGCCCACAGCGTCTGGACGCGTGGGTCCCTTGGTAGGCCCATGCTTTGCCTCCGGTTTGGGATCTCCGAGGACATCTCAGATCTGACCTTGCAGAGGCCGCCCTCTGTTGCTTGCTTGCTGGCTGGCGAGGACACTTGGTAGGAACACAGCTCCCTAAATCAAAAGGGGATCGCTGCTGGCTAGAGTTTGCCTGAGACTCCCATACCACCTCCCAACATAGAGAATTTCTATTCCTTGAACTCACTTGGGGCAGCAGTTTAAGACTCCCCACGTCCAGGAGCACGTAGGACCTGGGGCCACCTTCCTGCCTGCCTTCTCGGATGGAGCACCGCCTCCTGAGTTTCTGGGGTAACTTGAGGCGTGGCCTTGGTGAGTAAAACTTGGGGTGCTGCCTGCCGGGAAGGAAATCCGGAAACAGGATATGGGGGTAACCCAGGCCTTCACAGATCTGAGACTCTTGGAATCTTGTGTCCGTGTGTGGGGGTGGGGATGGTGACTGAATTTGGATATGCCTCCTTTCTCTATTCCTAAGCTGAAAAGGAAAAAGTCACTTGCCACACTTGCGACTGCACAGCCATTTAGGGACGTGAGGAACCGATTCTGAATTCAGAATAGGACGACATCACTAAGCAGATACCCATTCTGAGCCTGAAAATACTCTGCCTTCTGAGGAGACCCTGAGGGTCTAACAGTGCTGGGAAGCAGCCCCAGTATTGGGGTGCTCACTGCATAACCCAGCCATGTTCCTAAGACAAGTTGGTGGTTGGCTACGTCGCCCCTGGGGCCGCCGGAAACCAATGAAGCCTGACTCGCCTACCCCAGAACCCAGACAGTTGGACAGCTCCCCTGAGAATTCAGGGAGTGACTGGGATAGTGCCCCAGAAACTATGGGAGATGCAAGACCTCTCAAGACTAAGGACTCAGAGTTACTGAGGAGCTCTGGTACTGCTTCAAAACCAAGCAGGCAAGCCCAAGTTGAGGAATTGGGGAGCAAAAGAATGGATTCCCTCAAGTGGGACAAGGCTGTCTCTAGCATTGAAGAGTCTGGGAGACTGGAGGCTGGAGGAGCTATTCCCAAACTCGAATGGGATCATGTGAATTCAAGTGGCATCAGGAGACCTGGGATATCCCCTGAAGTGGTACTGAATGCTCCTGGGCTTGAAGTCCCAATGGAGAAACGTGGCCGGCGTCAGAAGCTGCTGGGCTGGCTGCGGGGAGAATCAGGGGCTCCCTCACAGTACTTGGGGGACCCAGAGGAGCGTCTGCAGATTTCCACCAATCTGACACTGCATCTGCTGGAGCTGCTGGCCTCAGCCCTGTTGGCACTGTGCTCACGGCCTCTGCGGGCAGCCTTGGATGCACTGGGCCTGCGCGGACCCCTGGGCCTCTGGCTGCATGGGCTGCTGTCCTTCCTGGCTGCCCTACATGGGCTCCATGCTGTGCTGAGCCTACTTACAGCTCACCCACTGCACTTTGCCTGCCTCTTTGGCCTCCTACAGGCCCTAGTCCTGGCTGTCAGCCTCCGGGAGCCCAGTGAGGGTGATGAGGCCACTGACTGGGAGAATGAGGGGTTGGAGAGGGAGAGTGAGGGGCAGAGGGAAGACCCAGGAAAGGGATTTTGACCATGGGTTAGGGTTGGGTGGGGACAAAGGGTGAAAACAATGTGGCCTTTAGGGGAAGAGCATAGGGTATGACCCAGACTGTAAGTATAGGGACCTCAGGGATGAGGAAGAAACCCCAGAGTATGAGGGCACAGGGACCCCTTCATATACAAGAGAAAATACAGCTAAAATAGGGTGTCTTTGTTTATGGACTATAGCGGTATGGCCTTTGGATTCACCAGCTGTTATTACTTTTTGCTTTTACATTTCTCTCATCTCAAGTTATTTTTTTCCACCTCCACCTTTTAAAAGCCAAAACCAACAAAAAATAGTGTGTTGGTGGATTATACAGACCAAAGGGTCCTCTCTTACTTTTTTTTTTTTTTTTGAGACAGAGCCTCAAGCTGTCCCCCTGGGTAGAGTGCCGTGGCATTACAGCTCACAGCAACCTCCAACTCCTGGGCTCAAGCGAGTCTCCTGCCTCCGCCTCCCAAGTAGCTGGGACCACAGGCGCCCGCCACAACGCCTGGCTATTTTTTGGTTGCAGCCGTCATCGTTGTTTGGCGGGTCCGGGCTGGGGATTCGAACCTGCCACCTTAGGTGTACGTGGCTGGCGCCCTAGCCGGTTGAGCCACAGGCGCTGAGCCGGTCCTCTCTTACTTTAAAAACTCCCTAGGGGTGGAGGAAACCAGAGGTAGACAGACCTCTGTGACAAGAGGGTATAGTTGGGAGACCCATCCCAAAGGATGTCTTAGATCTTGGGATCTGAGCCATCTAGGAAAATGTGGGGCTGCTAGGCAAGTGGATTAGCAGGTCTCGATTGGGGCCCACAGGTGACATAGATTTAGCAGGGAGTATCTGGTACTTATGGGAACCAGAGGGAGTGGGGAAGGTATAGGCAGTACTGGCAGGAGGGTCAACTCAAGCATTGACAGCTCAGATGGGCAGTGTGGGGGAAGCACCGGAGCCTATAGTCCTCCCTTGGGGCCAGGAGTTTGCTCACTCAGCAATAAATAATTTTGTCACACCAAATCCTAAATATATCATTATAAAGTGAGAGTTACTGCCACTCACTGTCCTTTCTGATGCCATCTAGCTGGGGGTTTTAGGTGGTAGAGGGTCCGTGTGGAGTGTTGAAATGGACGGGATTGATGTCTGGAGACAAACTCCAGAATGAGATGAGGATTGAAAAATCATCTTTATTCTTGAAGAGGTGTCGAGAGTCTCCAGCTTTTCCTCCTCCCAACAACTCAGCTCCCACCATACAGTGTGGGGATGTAGATGAAGTTATAGGTCAGTTACTGGACAGCTCACAGGCCTCTGTGATGGGAGGAGGGAGAAAAGAAGAGGACAGAAAGGAAGTTCAGGGAGAGAAGCAAGGTTGGTGGTAATGTGGTGGGGGAGAATGTGTTCCTTCATTCCCCTGGGTCAAAGGAGGAGTCTCTTAAGCCCTCCATGTCTTTCCCTCTGGCCCTTTTATCCACTATAAACTCAAACCTCTCTTTTGAGTAACCCACAGCCCATCCTGACTCCCTCATGTAACATTACAGCTGTTAGCCACATCCCTCTGTCATCACAGCCTATGACAAATGGAGGTGTCAACATAGCCAGTCAGATGATGTCACCTTTGGCCATGCCCTATAGTGACATCACATGAGCTTCTTTCATCCTGCATCCCCAGAAGATTTGGTGAGTCCTAGTTCTCTTGAGTAAGACTTTAACCCCTCACCTTGATTCCTGGGTGTCAGTAGGAAGGCTTTGGAGTCCAAGCAGGAAGTTAGGGATTGGAATTCCTCCACACACTTCTCAGGAGGGTGTGGTGAACGATCTGGAAGGGGAGGGTGGGACCAAGCCAGTCAAAGCCTCGAGTGAGGAGCTCATAAAAGCACCTACCCCTTCTTGGATGATGTCATAGGACCCAGAGCGAGGAGTTCCCCTGGCTTCCCCTTGTTTCCCTCCAGCCTTTCCTGCCTTGCATCCTCACTCACTATAGAGGAGAAAGCGCTGGTAGCCCTGACCCGTCTCTTTGAGCATGATTCCACCTGGGCATGAGCTGGAAAAGAGCTCAGTCTTCATGTCAGGGCGGCCTGTCAGGGTAGGGAGGGGAAGTGTGAGGACAGATATGCAACAAGATCAGGGGTCTTGGGAAGGGTGAGGGCTGGGTAGAACCAACCTTCAGTTCTGAGATCTGTGCTCCCTTCAGTAAAGTGGTAGATCCATTCCCGGGGTACACAGTTCCCATTTTTCCTGTAGAGGTGGTGGTGGCAAGGAGAAAGACTGAGTGTCACTGCAACCACACTGTACAACCCTTATTTATTCCACATTATTTCTTCTTGAAGCCCAGCTCCCTTTGCTATCAAAGGACAGTTAGGCCCATCTCTCTCCAGATGGCAATTAATGGAGTTATTCTATTGAGTGGGCCAAGAATAGTGGATATACTAAGAGCCCAGTTCTTGGTGGGTGAGTACTCACACTTTGGGCAGAGACTGAACCCACTGGTGCTTCTGACTCCTAACCACTCACTTGCGGATGGTAGCACGAAGCTGGAGCTGCATTGGGGCAGAGCCAGCAGCCATGTTGAAGACAATGTTGTCCACAGGGTCAAAAGTCGCCAACTCCTCCTTGGTAGGAGCTGCCCCTGCTATAAAGAACCACTGGCCCAGGTGGGGCTCTGGGAACTGGAGAGACAATGAGGGAAGCAAAAGAGAGCAGGTCCTACCACAGGATCCATTCAACCTCTTCACTGAGGACAGGAAGACTTAGAGGTAGAGATTTTGGCCGCCTTCCTCTTTCCAACTGGAGCTTAGATCCATGACAAGGAGTCATGACGTGGCTTTTCCTTTTTGCCCTTCTCAAATCAACCTGGGTAACCACCCCATCTCTCTAATTCTGCCATGTTTCCAAATTGATGGCTGCAGTACTGACATTTTTCTTCTTGCTTTCATCATCACAACACTCACACCCTCTTCCTCTTTTCCTTTTCCAACATGGCTTCCAGTCATTCTAGGCTACCCACCCAAGTCCCTCAGAGCCTCCACCATAGGCTTTCCCCAGTCTCTGTCCATACCTCCTTCCCATCCACTCCTAGAGTTGTCAGTTGGATGTGCTCAGGGCACTGGTAGATGGAATTAAGGAGAATACCATAGAGGTAAAGCAGAGCTGCCCAAATTCGGTGGAACATCTTCAGGCAGGAGGGAGCTGGTGCTCTGTGTGGGGTAACTGGTGCCTTAAATGCTGTCTCCCCTAGAGCTGCTCAGTCCACTCTGCTTCCAGTTCCCTTGCCTCGACCCTTGACCCTTTCACCTGCTAATGAGTAACTTCAACCTTGTTTTCCAATCCAAATCAGGATTACTTAGTGTTTGGGACTTCCTCCCCCTCTTCTGGATGCAACCATTCCACAGTACACACCCCCTAGCATGATCAGGGTCTCTCAGGAGTTATAAGGAGGGCTAAGCCCTATAGGTAGAAGTCTGTGGACTTTGAGCCCATATTGGAGCTATATCTGCTATGTTCTGCAGCAGTGAAGAGAGGGAGCATGATTAGTCTTTCATTCATTCACTTAGCAAATTGTTTTGAGTCCTATCTGTTGGTCAGGAACTGGTTAATCCCTGGGGATATATATTTAAAAAAAATCAATAAGACACCCCAATAGCCTTGAAGAAGTCAGTATAGGGAAAACTAGCTGGGTAACAATCATTGCAACACATCCTGATAAGTGCTTTAGAACATGCATGATCCAGGTGCTGAGGCATGATGGATTGCTTTCTAAAGTTTATCTTAAAATTGTGGGCAGCACCTGTGGCTCAAAGGAGTAGGGCACTGGCCCCATATGCTCGAGTTGGCGTGTTCAAACCCAGCCCCAGCCAAAAAATGCAAAAAA